ATTGAAATCAGGTCTCTCTTGTAAATGAGTCCTTGAGGCTCAATGGGATTTACCTGTCTAAATAAAGGTTGATTGATTGATACATATACATATATACATATACATGCATATATATACATATGCATATGCATATATATATGTATATATACATATACATATATAAATATACATACATACATATATACATATACATACACATATATATATACATATGCATACATATATACATACATACATATACATACACATACATATATATATAAATTTACTTTTCATTTTACAGCTTCCAAAAGTTTCACAAATTTGCTTTTCTAATTATGCCTACACTTTAGTTTTGCTTTTTATTAGCACAAATAGTGTCAGCTTTAAATGAAGCAGCTGAGTGAGAGTGAGGACGGATAGGGGGGCTATTTTCTCTTTCACTTGTGGTTTTTGGTGTTTCCCTTTCCAGTCTGAAAATTTCCCTTTTGTCACAGGCAAGATGATGTATGCATCTCAGAAAGAGTATTTAAGAGACGACCCTCAGCCTGTACCCTTCACAGTGCTTCTGTCAGCGAAACCTGCTGCCTTATCTGCCAAACCGCACGTCTTCAGCACCTGTATCATCTCGACCTGAAGAAGAAGTCCAACAATGTCCGGCATTATCAAGGTGTTCCTTCTCCTGGCCGTCGTGGCCTGCATCGCCAAAGCCCAGCGTAAGTCTGAAATATTTATTCATCATTTGGATCATACAGAGGTGTAGGACTTTTGTTCAAACAAGCGTGGATTTGTGACTCTATCCATTCCTTTTTAGTCAACGAAGCCGGACAGAACTGTCTGTGTCAGCGTTACAGAAACGGCATCAACTCAAAGAAAGACATCAAGGACATCCAGTTCTACCCGGCAACCATCTTCTGTGACAGAGTGGAGATTGTGTAAGTCATGAGATCCCAACATTTGACATATTAATTCTTATAATCATATCATTCAAATGAACCAAAACCCCAATGTTTTACATTTTGAGCACTAAAACACGTGTTCAAAGCAGATCACAGTCTCTGAATATAACTTTAAATAATCTATCATGGCTATGTTTGAGCTGTCTGTTTATCCATCAAGTAAAAAAACTAAACTGTGTTATCCAATCCACCAGTGTCACCAGTGGAAAAGGCTATCGCTACTGTCTGAACCCCGAGCTGGAGGTTGTAAAAAAGATGATAACTAAGTTTTTGTAAGTATTGCAATAATCTGTTCCAATTACAAATATTAACTTTTGAGTGAATCAAGCTGTGATTTATAGCGTGCTATGTTTGCTTTATTGTCATCTCTAGAAAGGCGAAGAGAACCTCCACCTCCAAACCTACTACGCGTGTTACTGTCAGGTCAGGCGGCAGCAGCAGCAGCAGCAGCAGCAGCAGCAGCAGCAGCAGCCCCACGACTCGCGTCTGATTCTCCTCGTTGTTTGACTAAGGACTCCGTCTGTCACCTGAACTCTGGACCAATGCACCTTTATCAAGTTAGATGTGAAATGACTCAAGCTACTTGACCTATTTATCCTGTATTTATACTCGTGTGAATATGTGTGAAATTTGTTTTATGTTTTTATTCAGCTATATTTTGTAGTGTACATGTTGTTAATTATTCTTCTTCTTTTTTTATAAAAATTGTAAAAAATCAAAACTTCAAGATCCAAGTGTTTTCTGTTATTAGCCTGAAAAGATGCTGTCCCAATACTGCTGCCATGTGGATTAAAGCTGCAGATGCAGGGCTTGAACTTTAGACTGCTTTCAAATCTGTATGCAGATTAGAGGGTTGGCAATAAGCCACACACCCAATACTCAGCTTTGATGAGGGTGGTTCAGATCAGTCGTATTCTATTGGTTGATAACCTTCACATCCCAAATATCAGCACCAACTTGGTTCCTTTCACCCTTAACACATCCGTCAAAATGAAATGCTAAGCCCCACGCCTAACTGAAACTCAAACATAAAACTCATTCTCACTAAAGTTTAAAAGAATATTTAGACCTTTCAAGTGTCCTCTGAAGAAATGAGTAGCAGAAATAATATTGACCACAGTGTTGAGATGCCTCGTCTTAATGGCCTGGAAGTAAAATACTGTAGCAACATGAACTCAAATTTTTCTTCAGCAATATTGCAGTAAACTATGGATAAATTCAGAGTCAGAGTTTCTTTATTGTCATTCGCACCTCATGTGGTGGAGCGAAATTATGTACACAGGGTCCGTTACGTCCAACAATAAAATGTAAAAAAGAACAGTAGTAACATCTAAGATATGAACTAAGAAAAACATCAACTAAATATACACTAAGCACTAATAGCATAAAACATTACGTCGAACATCAGCACAAACATGAACATGAGTCTGTGTGAGCAAATGAGCACGTATGAACACATCAACATGAAACAGATCAGCAGCAACATGAAACAGATCAGCAGCAACATGATGTGATTTTTTCACAGTGATTATTCTGGTTAGAGATTCATGAGTCTAACAGCCTCAGGGTAGAAGCTGTTCCTCAGTCTAGTGGTTCTACACTTAATGCTCCTCAACCTCCTTCCTGAGGGGAGCAGGGCAAAAAGTGTGTGTGCTGGGTGAGTGGGGTCCTTCATGATGCAGGTGGCCCTATTCCTGCATCTAGAGGTGTAGATGTCTGTGATGGTGGGGAGACTGACTCCGACAGTCTTCTGTGCAGCCTTCACCACTCTCTGTACATACATTTGGATCTGACTGAAAAATGTTGGATTGTATACCTGGATTATTGAGCATGGACTTTGTTGTTTTCAACCAATTTGACAAGACTGTCAACAAGGAAGAGGGCCGGCAATGGAGGAGGGGGCGTACCAAAGAGATCATCTTATCACAAGCAGAACTGGTTTGTTCCACTTTGGAGTAAGCTGTTGGGGGAAGAATCAGTTTTGTTGTGTGTTTCCTTGACTGATGAAGTCTTCTGGATCGAAGACGAAACATTTCAACACAAAAAAAAGAAACTGTCCAGATGACCTGACTGAAAAATGTTAGATTGTAATCTGGATTATTGAGCATGGACTTTGTTATTATACTTGGTCATTTACCTGTATTTATTGAGGAAAATGATCAAATATTACACAATATTTGTGAGTGGTAAAAGTTTGTGAACCTTTGCTTTCAGTACCTGGTGTGACCCTTCCTGTGCAGCATTAACTGCAACTAAACATTTCCAGTAACTTTTGATCAGTCCTGCACACACCAGTTTGGAGGAATTTTAGTCCATTCATCCATACAAAACAGCTTCAGCTCTGTGTTGAAGCTGGACCTTCAACAGGTCCTTCCACAACATTTGGACTGGATTAAGGTCAGGACTTTGACTTGGTCATTCCAAAATATGAACTTTATTCTTCTTGAACATTCTTTGGTAGAACGACTTGTGTGCTTAGAGTCATTGTGTCGCTGCACGACCCACCTTCTCTTGATTCAGTTCATGGATAGATGTCCTGACATTGTCGTTTAGAATCCTCTGATGTTATTCAGAATTCATTGTTCCATCAATGATGGCAAGTCATCCTGACCCAGATGCAGCAAAACTGGCCCAAACCATGATACTACCGCCACCAGGTTTCACAGATTAGACAAGGTTCCTATGCAGAAATGCAGCATTTTACTTTCTCCAAACTTTTCATTTACAGTAAACCTAAAAGTTCTATTTTGGTCTCATCCATCCATAAAACATTCTTCCAACAGCCTTCTGACTTGTCCATGTGATCTTTATCAAACTGCAGACGAACATCAATGTTCTTTTTGGAGAGCAGTGGTTCCTCCTTCAACCCTGCATGCACACATTGTTGTTCTGTGTTCTCCTGATGGTGGACTCAGGAACATTAACATTAGTCAATGTGAGAGAGACCTTCAGGTGTTTAGAAGTTACCCTGCGGGCCTTTGTGACCTCCCCCACTATTACATGTCTTGCTCCTGGAGTTGTCTTTGTTAGTCGACCACTCCTGGGGAGGGTAACAATCGTCTTGAATTTCCTCCATTTGTCCACAATCTGTCTGACTGTGGATTGGTGGAGTCCAAACTCTTTACAGATGTTTTTAATCTTTTCCATCCTGATGAACATCAACTCTTTTTTTCTGAGCTCCTCAGAAATCTCCTTTGTTCTGCGATGATACACTTCCACAAACATGTTGTGCAGAGCAGACGTTGATAAATCCCTGTTCTTTAAATCAAAAAGGGTGCAAACTCACACCTGATCATCATCCCATTGATTGAAAACACCTGAGTCTAATTTCACCTTCAAACTAACTGATAATCCTAGAGGTTCACACACATTTGCCACTCACAAATATGTAACATTGGATAATTTTCTTCAATAAATAAATGCCCAAGTATAATCTAATTTTTTTGTCTCATATGTTTAACTGGGCTTGGGTTTAACTTGGGTTTAACTTTGTCTACTTTTAGGACTAATGTGAAAATCTGATGATGTTTTAGGTCATATTCATGCAGAAATATAGAAAATTATAAAAGCTTCACAAACATTTAAGCACCACTGTACTGTATCTACTCTTTATCCTTCCTCTGTCTTTTCCCAACAGTTGCATTTCTAACAGCCTTCCAATATACCCACTGTCCCTCCTCTGGACATGTCATGTCACCATCTTAGTCTGGTCTCTCTAACTTTATCACCCAGTTGTTCAACTTGTGCTGCACCTCTGATGATCTCATTCCTAATCTTACACATGCCACTTCCTGTCTTTTGTCAATGACACTGTTTCCAGGCCATACAACATTGCTGGTCTCACCACTGTCTTGTAAACATTTCTATAGACCTTTGCTGACACCCTTTTGTCACAAATCACTCCTGAAACTTTTATCCATACACTCCATCCTGTCTGGACTCTCTTTTTCACCTCTTTACCACATTCCCAATTTTCTTGGACAGTGTGACCTCTGCTCCTTGTAGTCTCACTGTTCCGCCGGCCTCCCTCTCATTCACACATGTACTCTCTAACTAAGGAAGATTTTCACTCACCTTCTTTCAAGTGCATACCTCCACCTCTCCAAGTTCTCTTCAACTTGTTCCCTGTCCTCACCACAGAGCACAATGTCATCTGCAAACATCATAGTCCACAGGGATTTCTGCCTGACCTCATCTGTCGGTGAGGTCATTAGTCGGTCCGTCACCAGAGCAAACAAGACGAGGCTCAGAGTCAATCCTTGATGTACTCCCACTTCCAACTTGAAGCTATCTGTCACTCCTACAGCACGTCTCACCACTGTACTGCTGTCCTCATACATGTCCTGTACCAGTCTAACGTACTTTCTTTATCCAACATCACAGGTCTTCATTTGACACCATGTCATAGGCTTTTTCTAAATCCACATAAACACAATGGAGTTCTTTCTGACCCTCTCTGTACTTCTCCATCAGCATCCTCAAAGCAAATATGGCATCTGTGGTGCTCTTTCTTGGCATGAAACTGTACTGCTGCTCAGAGTCACCTCTCATCTAAGTCTAGCTTCCACAACTCTCTCCCAGATCTTCATTGCGTGACTCATCAACTTAATTCCCCTGTAGTTGCTATAATTCAGTACATCACCCTTGTTTTTAAAAATGGGCATCAGCACAATTCATTCCTCAGGAATTTTCTCCCTCTCAAATATACCATTGAATAATCGAGTCAAAAAGTTCACTGCCATCGCTCCCAAGTATTTCCAAACCGCCACTGGTACTGTATGCCATCATCAGGTTCTACTGCCTTCCATTTCGTCATCCTCTTCTGCTTTCTGAACTTCATCTCTAATGTTTCCCACTTAATACTTAATAGTCCACAGTTTCTATGACATGTACTCTTCTTTCACTTTCATTCTCTTCATTCATTAGCTCATTGAAGTATTCCTTCCATCTTCCCATCACACTCTCCTCAATTGTTAGAAAATTACTTTCTGTTTTTAACAAGCCTAACCTGCTGCACATCCTTTCCAGCCTGATACCTTTGTCTCAGCAGTCGATAAATAATTTTCTCCCTTGTAAGTATCCAGTTTTATGCACAACTCCTTATAGACCTTTTGGTTTGCATTTGCTACATCTCTCTTTTATCTATATGTTGCATTTCATAATATTTCTGTCTACTGTCTTCAGTCCTGTCACTGGCTCGGGTCTTCTTGGCTAACCTCTTCCTATAAATAGCATCTAACACTTCATATTCCACCACGTTTCCTAATATTGTTTTCTCCATTCAGATGACGCGCCCTAAGGCCAAATATCTTTCTACCCAATTCTTTCTTCAATCACTGTTGCTGGAAGCTCTATCTTACCACCCAGAGCTTTTAATAGCTCCTCTGAACTCTTCATAACATTCTTCTTTTCTCAACTTCCACCTGTCATTGTATCCTTTTATTGTTGTCTGTTTCAGTGGTAGTATCTAATTTTAATTGTAAGGTGATT